TTAGTATTCCCTGTTCCTACCCTCACGGCTGTGCCAGGTCTTCACCAGGAACCTTAGGTTGTTACCTTACGAGTGAGGAATTACTTCTCATTGGCCCATTAACTATGATCTTCAATGGGAAATAGTGGCCTTACTATTGTTGGTTCAATCTCCTTATCAAGTCTGAATTTTCAGTATAATATTATTCAAACTTTTGGTATCATAACAGTTTATAAGCAGGCAGACACTTGCTTCCCTTTCCTTATTTCCCACGGAAAGATAATTATAATAATACTCTTTAGGAATATCCTCAAACAATAATTCTTTATTATCTTATGCATATTTAGCCAAGAGTAGGTGAAGCTAACACACATAAAAATAAAAGTTATACTTTAAAAAAAGTCTAACACTTAAAATGTATTACTTGAAAGAATCTCTTAACAAACCTCTGGATCTCACATTTTACCCTACTTACCCCAGCTCCTAAAGCAGAGGTGTAAGGGAAGCATTGAGGGCACAGAATGTAGGATGATGGGAAGAGGAGTAAGGAGCACCACAGACATTCCAATAACGGAGCTACTAGTGACAGAAAATGACGAGGAGAAAGTGGTTCAATAGGCCACGTGAGACAGAGTGGCTCGTTCACCCCCACTTCTAGTTGCATGCATCACTGAACTTCCGGTTGAGAGCTTCACTGGGAAGATGGGAAAAGTTTAAAAATCAGGAAATACGAAGGGGTCAGGGAAAGTTTAGGCTACTGAGCTGATGAGCCCAGGATGCTGTCTGCCTGGGAGGCACTTTTAATTCTGGAGGATCTAAGTACTAAAAAGGGCCCTGACAGAAAAAACTGGAAAGTGGCTGTTTAGTCTTACTCTGGGTTCAAGGACAGATGGGGAAGCCTTTCAGGCTTTTTTCCATCTGGCCTGGTCTTGTTCAGTAAAATAGCAGAAGAGTTAGAGATTCTGACAGACAGGGAGTACAGAAGAATAGAGAAATGCAAAAGAGAAGTACAAACACAGGAAGTTGAAAGAGTAAATATTAATTTTCATCCTCTTGTCATTATTAAATAGGTGCCAAAATACTACCAGAAATAACAATATTTCTGGTATATTATCTGGAATAATAACAGTCTCTGAAATGACTAATTTTAATTTTATATAATTTGCTAAGGCCATAAAATATATTAATGTGTGTGTGTGTCCAGATTTGTGGTTCAGCCAGGGGAAGTTCAATGTTGATAGCTTATTTGAAGATTTCTTTTGGTTACTTCTTCCAGACCTTTAGGTCATGTGGAAAATTCTAAAGAAAATTCTCTTATATAAATTCAAAAAATTTAAGCGTTATGTGAAAAATAAGTGTAATCTATGGAATATGTATCCTCCATGAATAAACACAGTTAAATTTATAGGAGCCATGCATCCATTATTTTGTCACAATATAAAGTTAATACTCCCCCCCACCCTCCCACATCTCCTGGATTAAGAAAAATGATATTATCCACGGTAGCATTTCTTGTTCTTTCTTTAGGTGAAAAAAACAAATTAGTAATCCTGCACCAGTACCAGCAAAACTTACATCCTGAGGTACACACAAAGATTGTCTATAATTGGAAAACAGAAAGGTAAAATAAACTGTTAATGATATAGTTATATATCCAACTGAAGATTAAGAGGAGAAAAATCATTCTATGTCATATTGTGAGCCCAAGAGAACTCCTATACCTAAATATCTTGTTAAACTAATAATAAGTTCCATTCAGTTCAAAAAATATTTCAGTGCTATGAGCAGTTTTCAGTTACTGAACTGTGTCCATAGGTACAACATTCATAGCATTCCTCCTTGGCAGGTTATTTACCCTCCTGTTACCAACTTTGATATGTGTTAAAAGTAAATGATTCACCATCACTGATTTCCACTGTCAGATCTACGAGTCACCTAGCTCTGACTTGAATGGAAATGAGAATGCAAAGTGAAAATGGTCTGAAAGAATGGCAGCCTCTCTTGAAGGGCAGATGAAGGTTCAGTGACCTCTGGGCACTCTGGTCCATTGTGGTGAATCACCGCTTTGGGGAAGCAAAAGACCTTGTGGCTCATAAACCCTGATGATATTAACAAGAGGAAAGGAATTCACACTTAGACATCAGGGTCACCGCTAGAAATACAACTTTAAAAATTCAAGGGTAGGGAAAAATACTATATTTAAAAATGAATTACTAATATTCTTTTCTTTTAAAAGTATTGGGAAAGCCCATATCATACAGATGTTCATTACTTATTCAATGTACACCACTGAGAGATAAATAGAACTGTTAGAATACAAAAATGCCAAGGGTAATTCAACGACTGCAGTGTAAGTGTGGCATAACTGATTTGTCATGACATACAATTTTCTAAAAGCTATTTTGTTAGAAGGCAATAAATGAGTGCATAAATGATTTATACTCTTCTGAACTATGGTTATTATTCAGTACTTTATTTTTAAAAATATATACACCCTATACTATTATGTTTATTCTCTAGAGTATAATAAAAACGTAATTGAATTTGATGAAAAATAGACTTGATTCTAAATGTAGCATACGGCACACACAGCTACTCCCTTATTTTATCCCTTGTGAAGATCAATGGTCACTTGAAGTGATTCTGCTCTATGTTCGTTTTAATATATGGGTAAAAAAATATTTTTAATTTAAAAATTATACCCTTATATTCCATGTCATTGTTTTTAATACTAACATATGAGTTTTTACCTAAATAATTTATGAATGCAAAATACAATATTTTAATCACTGTTTTATTTCTAAGTATGATTTCCTATTGACTAGGCAGGGCAAGAAATTAACTACAGATGGTTTAGCAAATAAAAATGAAGCAATCTAGGAGCTGGCCTGGTGGCACAGTGGTTAAGTTTGCATACTCCACTTTGGCGGTCCGGGGTTCGCAGGTTTGGATCTAGGCACGGACCTACACACCACTCATCAGGTGTTTCATACACAAAATAGAGGAAGATTGGCACAGATGTTAGCTCAGGGACAATCTTCCTCACAAAAAAAATAAACAAAATAAGTAAATAAAATAAAACACTCTATAACAAAAGCATCAGAGTTCAGTGATTTGTTTTGCTTTGATGGAGCCTAAATGCCATTATGAATAAAGGTTACCTTTTTAAAAATATTTAAAATTTGCTTTTAATATAATCATCTCTGGAATTTACATAAATGACTTGTTAATCTATTTATGCTAAGATTATTTTTATTTATAAGTTCCTTTGGGTTAGAAACTGTGTCATGCAATATATAATGTATAATATATAAATTACATAAATACATAATTACACTAGTTAAATACAGTTATTTTATATTTATATACAATAGCAATTATACACTCTCTACAGTATGGTTAAGTCATAGATATGCTATCTTTTAAAATATATATATATATAGTACGGGCAAAGAAATATTAAAAATAAGAGGTTTAATTCTCTCTGTTGAAAATAAGAGAAAAGATTTCCCTCCCTTCCTTTTTCTTAAAGCATTTACCTTAGAAACTTGTAATTACAAGGACTTTTTTGTCTCTTTGAAATGTATGCCTTGGAAGACTAGACAGGCCTTTTGTCAGCATTCTCAGCCAGGACTATCTTTCTCAGGAAACTGGGAGCCATCTTTGCAAAATGCAAACAAGGGAGATAGCTCTCCCATCCCCAAGTCCCTGTGGGAGAGTAGCAGCTCACCTTCAGTGGGTGTTTTGTTCCAATTTGCAAAACTACCTCCTGTCATAAAGATATGAGAAGTTTGTTTCTCCTCAGGAAAAGGCCAATTAGCTAAGATAGGTGTTCTTTAACGATGGTAAGTTAGGATGAAATCCTCTATTTGAAGACTAATTATTCTTTATCTCGAAAACATGTATGTAATGGGTTATACCTACTAGGCTACATAAAGGGGAGTGATTCCTTTCTGTCTTTGCAATCTGAGCGGATTGCCTGTGGTGTGCCTTGCATTCTGGTTTAATGCTTGTTGAATAATAAAAGTGTTTTCTTTCTCTTCTATCTTTGTAGGGAGGATTTCTGGGATGGGAGATTTTTGTTTTTAATTGTAATTCCCCAACAACATGCTATCTTTTGAATTTAAGTTATTTACGCCTATTGTTATGATGATTAAAAATTAACTGTATTCTCAAACAAAACATGAGGGAAAAAATCGTAGGAACATTTCACTTGGTTTAGCTTCTTTGACAATTCAATATAACTGTACTTTAAATTTTAAAAAAGGAAATACTATGTATCATTCTACAATAGAAATATTTACTGTGGTTTACATATTTGTAACCCACATGAGGTGAATTATTAGAACCTTTGATCAAAAGGATTCAAATAAGTGATCTGACACTAGGGCCCACAAATACACAGTCCTTGCTATCACAGAACATGTATTAGTGGGAAAGTTCTTAGTTGTCCTTCTGTGTTTGGTAACACTAACTTTTGGAGTAGGTGATGAAGACTAATCTGGCAGTGCAACTCTCTATGGAGTCCCCAGCCTCCCGAGTAAATGAGAAGGAGACTAAAATGACAAACATTACATAAAAATAATTTATTTTTAAGGTTCTGTTTTCAGCAGCTCAAGTAATCCATGGCTTTATACTACCATTTTATTTTAATATCTTAATTTCAAATTTTTTATTTCTGTGCTTATCTACCAAAGGAGAATGCTTAACTCTAAGTACATTAATGAAAAACCAGGCCATCAACATTGGCAAAATCTAAGAAATCTTTTAATAGCAATTCTATGAACTTTATCTATTTGAAGGCAGTGCCTATATTTTCTAGTCTTATTAAAACTACTAATCTGATAAGGGCAATCGTGTTAAATTTGAGGAGGGAGGGTCTAATCAATTTTTTTCAGGAAAGTTAATGATAATTAAAATAGAAAATTATCTAAGAGTAGTAAACACTAAAACTAGACTAAATAAAGTTCATGTAAATAAAACATGAAATCAGCTTGTTTTAAACAATTAGCAATATTTACCTTGCAGCATTTTGTTCTATCTTTTCATCAATGTCACTGAAGATCTGTTTAAACTCCAAGTCTTCAGGAAAGGAATTTAACAAACAATGTAGATCAAACGAATTTTGAGAATATTCATCTCCCCAATCCATTCTGAGAAACAAGAATGAAAAACATGTCAGTTCCCCCAAAATGAAGAAAAGAAAAATACCTCAGGTTGTAATATTGATAATTTCCATTCATAGACAAAATGAAATATAGCAGTAGGAGAACTAGGTAATATTAAGCTAGGTACAGTATTTGGTTATTTAAATTTCATGATGTGTGACCTAATTTTCACACTTCTCTGTGGTTTGAAAGCTGAATAAAACAGCACCCAGTAGAGAAGAAGTAAGCATCCTGCTGCTTCTCACTGTAACCCAGAGTGGCAGGAAATCACAAAGCCTCAAAAACCACTGTGACAAGGAGGGTTGCAGCAAGAATTCACACCTTCCCTCCAGTCTTGTCAACATACTGATGTGGAAATTGTAGGAAAAGCCTTTTTAAAGTCTCATACCCACCCCCCCACCCCAGCCCACACCCCGGCGCGATGCATACATGAAGAAGGCAAAATTTTCCTTGAGTTCCTCTAGGCTCCTGAGAACTGAAGTATTGATAACTCACTAAAACTTAAATATGCACTTTTTCTAGAGGTATATCCATTTTCCCACTAACAAAGCTTCAATCGTTCATTCCATAGGTATTTACTGAATGTTTGATATGTACAGGCACTGCTGTAGGAGTAAAAATAAATAAATCCAAAATACTTGAAAAACTGTCTAAAGTATTTTGTAGAGACCACAACATTAATGGACTTCTTCATCTTGAATTATTCAGATGTGCTAATTTATCATCCTATACTGAAACAACCAAAGATTTCTCATAGGTCCTATCCAAAACTTGAAAGACATAGTCTTGGGATAAAGCTTTTATTTTTCTTCAGAGATTTTATTTTAAAAGGAAAACACACAACTAAAACATTTTAACATAAAACTATACAGCATCACAAAGTTTGTCATTTGTAAACTCAAATTAATTCCAAACCAGAATAAACACGGATGGGCCATTTTAAAATACCAAAATCCGCATAAATTTGGACTCTCCTCTTTCAAACTATCTTGCAATAAAAGGTATAATTTCTCATTTGAAAACTAAACTTTACCTATAACGTGCCGTAATAAAGATTAATTTGAAATCAGGCTAAAGAAAACAAAAACTATAAGCTAAACAGTAGAAAACTCTATGTCCATCAGAAGTTATACTTCTTTAGGACACCAAAACCTCAATATTTTCATATAATCTAAGAGTGTGACATCTTCATATTTCCCTAGCAGGTCAACTAGTTATAGCTATTATCAGAATAGCCATTTCTAAATCCAATGGAAAACATTACTGATAATGAATTCAGTTTATGTATTTCCATATTTTTGAATCATTTTGGTAGTGCAACTCTTCAAATGATGAGTCATTCAAAAATTGTTGCAAGAAAATAAAATTTGACTTTTGTAATGAAAAGATTTGATTGGCTGAGCATTCTTTTAGAGAACCCAAACTTAGTAAATTTGTTCGTAGCCAGCCTCTCTGTAATAAAACAAGTTATATACTACTACTATGTTTAGAGTTGTCCAGTTTGTCAATACTACAAAGCAGCATTAATTCAGACACCACAAATTCAAAACTTAAAAATTAGGTATAGAAATCAGCTTAAATATAACAGCAAAAAGACAATAACAGATTTGTTGCATATCTCTTGTTGTATATCTACTACGTAGAAGGTTCTTTACATACCTTATCATCCTCAATTCTCATAATAACTCTACAAAATATCTATTATCCTCACTTATAGAAGAGGAAACTTGGGCCCAAAGAGATTAACTAACATGCCCATGTTACACAGCCAACCAGTGTTAGAGGTAGGGTTTGAACCCAGATTTATTTGGTTCCAAACTTGAGGGTGCTGGTCTCTTGAGAAATGCATCACTTACTGCATACAAAACATTGTTTTGTGGAAACAGTATTAACCGAAATGTTAAAATGATTATCCCTGGATATTTAGACTATGGTTGAATTTTATTTTTTTTCTTTCTAATTAGCGTTTTCCTATGTTTTTGTAATAAGTTCTTCTTTTATATATAATCAGAAAAAGATATTTAAAAGAGAAACTACCCCTGCTCTTAGGGGGCTTATGATCTTTTATTTTACATTTTCTGTCTTCATTTAAAACATCTTCTAACCTTAATACTTCTCTGTTGCCAATTCATGTTTCTAATTTCTTTCAAAATCTAACTCAAAACTTACATAATTTCTAAATATCTTTGACTATGACCATTTCACCAAACTTTTTGCATTATTTTATGGTATTCGTGCCTGCAAATGTTATTAAAAGAAAATCTGTTGTTTCGTATTATTTTGATATTGAATGTGTGTGTTGTGTCATTCATTGAAAATCAGTTCTAGAGTAAAATAATAATGGACTGAAACATGTTGGGGTTAGTGACCATGATTTTGAAGGATTCCCAGTCTACATGGTTGTGTGATATTCTCTAACCTCAGTATAGAAGCTAATCAATAAACAGAAAGAATGCATTAAAGAAATGTCATTTGATAACAATGATAGGGTACCAGAATGACGATGGTTCAGAGTTTTCATGTGACCTGCATAGATCTGTGACATTTCCATATCTATGATGATAAAGTGATGAAGGACAAGAGAAATAAGGGTCACCTTTGTAGGTAAAGACGCAGCAAGTTTAAGATGCTGTGTGACAGCATAAGAGAAAACTTAATGAGAAAATAGAACTAACAGGATAAGAAAATTAACTGGAGTGAATAGGGATGCACAGGACCAACATGAGAAACAAATAAAGGAGGGAGAGTAAACTGCGGTAGGTGATGCTAAAGTTTGGATTAAGAAGTTTTCTCATTAGAACGGCAGTGATCCCTGCAGGACTGTGGTAAGAAAGAAGCATGCACTAAATGGGCATGAGCACAGGCAGCAATCCTCCCATTTCCTTACATGCACTCCTCAGGCCCAGAGTGTATCTGACACTGTGCTGGGCATCATGAAGGAGCAGAGACAGTAAAAAGAATAAGACCACAAGGAAGGGAGCCAGTAGAAAGGTCACTGCTATTCTTTAAGTAAAAGACAACTATGACCTCAACAACAGAAAAGTAAATTACTGAGGGACTAATGTACTTTGGCAATTACTTCAGTGGTATTTCAGAAAAAGTAGAACCACCTTTAAAAAATTTAGGGGGAAAAAGGAAGAGGCTGTGAAGCTGTGGGTCAAGATACAACTTTACATTCTGTTTATGTTTCTGTACTTCCAACTATTAAATTGTCATCAAGGAGATAATAATAACTTGACGTACTGAATAAAGTCTCTCATCCTAATCCATGATCAATCAAAAATGGAAGCTGTAACTTTTTTTTTGAAATTGCTATTCCATAATACTGTTTTTAAATGTTCATTCTTTTGTAATGTTTCTGATCAATTTTTGTATAAGATTAAAAAAATAGTGCTCAATATTTCAAACAAGTATTAAAAGCCAACCTATTATTAATTATTGCCTTTTAAAAATGAGTTATGTTTGAAGAATTACATCTCAGCCAAACATCTGTAGATCAAGTTTAGGCCCTAGGCAAATTATAAAAGTTGAGTTATAAATTCCTAAGAACACTGACTATAATAAAATATGAACATATTATAAGCACTGTCAGAAAACAATACAACAAAATGATAAAAAAAAAATCATACCTTATGTTATCAAAAGAAAGCCCACAAAAGTAATTTTGGAATCTCACTTGTCCTTTAACATATTTTAAAATGATACCTTTCTATCCTAGGATCTTTTTTTCTTTATTTAAACATATATAATGGTTAGAGTCCTTATTTAATCTTTTTTCTGTTTTGTCAGTAATAAAAATCCAGAGTATCATTCTTCTTATGAGCAACCAATACATGCTTAAAAAGGAGTGAAAGAAGATAGAAAAACCAATCATTGGGAAAAAGTCTGTGCTGAACTTTAGTTAGTAAAGGGGAAACATTCAGACTGAGTGATTTTTCTTCTCTGGAAAAGCCCAGTGAAGAGGGTCATATGCCTTCTTAGATCCACAGACAGACCATGGAATTAATGTGTCCACCAGCTCTGGCTTGTCTGAAATCCTACCGTTCAACACCACTGTCTAACCCAAACACTGTTAATGAGCATGGTAAGGAAGTGGGGTATCTTGATTAACTAAAAATAATTATATGCTCCACATATAACTGAACTAGTTTCAAAATGTTTCACTGTGGGGCCGGCCCCCTGGCCGAGTGGTTAAGTTCATGCGCTCTACTTTGGCAGCCCAGGGTTTCACCAGTTTGGATCCTGGGTACGGACACGGCACCACTCATCAAGCCATGCTGAAGCAGTGTCCCAAATAGCACAACTAGAATATACAACTATGTACTGGGGGGCTTTAGAGAGAAGAAAAAGGAAAACAAAAAACAAAAAAAGAAGACTGCAACAGATGTTAGCTCAGGTGCCAATCTTTAAAAGAAAAAAAAAGATTCACTGTAATAAAATACATTTAACTCTAAACACCATTGACCCAAGAACCAAAAGATTTGAGCCTTGATCCTGGTCTGCTAATGTTTATGTGACACTGAGTAAGTCACTCAGCCTCTCAAAAGGAGTGGAGCTCACATTCCTCATTTATAAAATGAGGTGAACGGATTTTCAGGCTCTGAGGTTTCTTCTAGCAGAATCTATAGCTTAGCAAGAAATATAATGTAAAAAGAGGAAATATGAGGCAGCAAGATATTCTTTCATGGTAATAGGTAGATGCCCTGTACTGATGTTCCACCCTCAAACCTCTAGCTCCCTAAAATATTCTGAGAAGCAGCTGGCCCATGTTTCTGGGCTCCTCTGACTTGGCACACTCTTCACTCAAGAAAAGATGTCTGAGGGGCTGGCCCCATGGCCGAGTGGTTAAGTTCGCGCACTCCGCTGCAGGCGGCCCAGTGTTTCGTTGGTTCGAATCCTGGGCGCGGACATGGCACTGCTCATCAAACCACGCTGAGGCAGCGTCCCACATGCCACAACTAGAAGGACCCACAACGAAGAAAATG